AAAAAAAAAGAGAGAGAGAGAGTGAGGAACGGAGACCTGATGAGACTATAACCCAACCCACAGTAGCCTAAACTGGAAGAAGCACCAATTGCCCTGAGTCTAGTTCATTTCTAGATCAGAGGACTCAGGTTCTCAAGCCTGGAGGGTCCCAGGGCTGGTTGGCATCCTAAGGACCCAGCTCTACTCCCTATACAAACACACTATCCTGTCCTAGATCTGATGTGAATCTCCCAGAGGCCCTTCAAGTTTCCCTGGCTTCACAAGAAGATGAGAACTGAAATAGCACTGACCTTCCCAGAGAAGACACAGGCTGTGCCTCTACTGTTTGCAGCCCCAAGAATTGACAGACACCTTGATCAAATGGCCAAAGTGGTCCATCCAGTTCAGGTGGCTCTCAGGGCCATACCTGAAGGCTAAATATCCACCTGCCCTAATCCCATCCATCCGTGGGAGTCTCCAACCCTCAGGAATAGGCTGGTTGGATTGCTGGCTGCAGCCTCTGTGAAAATAAGGTTAGGAATGGAGTGGGAGAGCCAGGCTTGGGTTGGGTGAAACCAGTATCTCTCAAGGCAGGCCACAGTGAGGGGGAGGAGGAGGGAAACGAGCTGGTGGGCCAAATCCATAGGGTGCATCTTGAAGGGGAGCCCAGGTGTGTCTTTGTCTTCGAAGAAGGCAGAGTTGTCTGGGCCTGGACACAAGGGAGGTGGGCGCTGCAGCGAGGAGAAGAGAAGGAGATTTCAGCTTTCCCCAAAACTACCTAAGTGGCACACAGCTACATAACATCATTTGGAATCTCGTCCCTACTCCCTATACAAACACACTATCCACGCGGCTTCTCAACCTCTCCCTGCACCCTTGAGTCTCCCGTTAGTGTCTTTGGCTTCCCCCTCATCCATGCTGCCACTGCTGTCAGTTGATGGTGGAGGGATGGAGAGAAGCTGTGTGTTTTCAGTCTCCATCCCTGGGGTGACCCTGAAGAAGGATCTTACTGCTTGTATGTTTTGGCCTCTGCACTACCCATCATCCTGGACTGAGTTGCGGAAGTGGGTACTTAAAGGAGGAAGCAAGGCTGCCTGGGCTCACTTCCCTCAGCCCAGCCAGGGAAGTGAGCCCATCAGACTGGAGAGGCCACTAAGAAGCAGAAAGGGTTCCAAGGCTTTACTCACAAGAAGACTCTGGTGTCTCTGCCTCTTCCAGTGGGCCCAACTCCCTGCCAGAGTCCAGTATTAACACCTAGAGGGACATCTAGGGCTAGGGGGGCCTCCCCCCCCCCTCACCCGCCTTGGCCCTGGGGCCCCACCCTCCTGGGCCCTGAGGCAGGAGCATCTTAGACTGGTGCTCGAGCCCACCAAGGCAGGGCACCAGGGGGGACTCTGCTCTGAAAGGCCTCTGGCTGAAAGGAGGGACATCTGCTTGAAGCCTCCCCTGCCTTGGGGAGCAGGACACTGCTCCTGCGTTTTTACTCCCCTCTTGCATTAAAACCCCACCAATAAAGCCTCACACCCCAGGATTATCCCTGGCAGAATCCTAGACATCCCACCCCTCGCCCAAACCTGCCTTCTTCAGAGCGGAGAATTGAGAGACGCTTCCCGGGCGGGTCACCCGCCTCTCCAGAGGGAGGTCCCTAGCGATCCGCGGGAGGTCCAGGCACGCCCAGCTGTGGGGAAATTCGGCCTGGTCTGGCGGCCGCGCTTCCAGGCGCAGCGTAACGCGGGGGCTCAGGTGGGGGCGTCAGGAGCCGAGACTCGCTGTGCGCTGCCCTGCCTGGCTTCCCTGGGCAGTTGCCAACCCTGTGCGGCCGGGTGGGGGTGGGGGTGGGGGCGAGGGCAGGGGCGGAGCGCGGCCTTTCCGGCCTGAGGAGTGGCTGCGGCCGGGGACGCCACTGGACTACCGGACTGGCTGCTGTCACTCGCGCTCCGCGCCCTGGCTCCACTCGCCGTCGCCGCTCTCCTGTGCACACCTGGGCGCACGGCGCACACTCGCGCTCTTGCACTCAGCCCTGATCCTCCGTAGCAGCAGAATTTGGGAGCGGCCCCCTGTCGGTGCCGCCAGCAAGCCCCTCTAGCTCCCATCAAAGAGGTCCCATGGGCCCCGAGATCACCTGCCCGTGGAGCGGCCGCCTGCCTCGCTTCCAGGTGAGGACCTGGATCGAGCCCGTGGTGGCCTCGACCCAGGTGGCCGCCTCCCTCTACGACGCGGGGCTACTCCTGGTGGTGAAGGCGTCCTTCAGCACCGGAGGCTCCTCCAACCACAGCGCCAGCCCGTCGCCGCGGGGGGCTCTAGAGGACCAACAGCAGAAGGCCATCTCCAATTTCTACATCATCTACAACCTCGTGGTGGGCCTGACGCCCCTGCTGTCCGCTTACGGCCTGGGCTGGCTCAGCGACCGCTACCACCGCAAGATCTCCATCTGCGTGTCGCTGCTGGGCTTCCTGCTCTCCCGCCTCGGGCTGCTGCTCAAGGTGCTGCTGGACTGGCCGGTGGAAATGCTGTATGGGGCGGCGGCGCTGAATGGGTTGTGCGGGGGCTTCTCCGCCTTCTGGTCTGGGGTGATGGCTCTCGGATCCCTGGGCTCCTCCGAGGGCCGCCGCTCCGTGCGCCTCATCCTTATCGACATGATCCTGGGCTTGGCGGGGTTCTGTGGGAGCATGGCTTCCGGTCATCTCTTCAAGCAGATAGCTGGGCACTCTGGCCAGGGCCTGGTACTGACGGCCTGCAGCGTGAGCTGTGCCTCGTTCGCCCTGTTCTACAGCCTCTTGGTGCTGAAGGTCCCTGTGTCGGCCGCCAAGTCCAACAAGGAGCTTTCCTCGGTGGATAGCGTGTCTGGCACCATTGGCACGTACCGCACCCTGGATCCTGATCAGCTGAGCAAGCAGAGTGTAGTAGAGCATGCTCCATCCTCTGGGAAAGTAAAACCCCCCAAAACCATCATTGCCCTGCTCTTTGTGGGTGCTATCATATATGACCTGGCAGTGGTGGGCGCAGTGGACGTGATGCCTCTTTTTGTGCTGAGGGAGCCTCTCAAATGGAACCAAGTGCAGGTGGGCTATGGTATGGCTGCAGGGTACACCATCTTCATCACCAGCTTCCTGGGGGTCCTGGTCTTCTCCCGCTGCTTCCAGGACACCACCATGATTGTGATTGGGATGGTCTCCTTTGGGTCAGGAGCCCTCCTCTTGGCTTTTGTGAAAGAGACATACATGTTCTATATTGGTGAGTGTGGCATTCCTGGGGAGGCAAGACACTGCTGGCTCTCTGTGTCATGAGACTGGCACCAGAGATGCTGTGGTCTGAGCATCCCAGCTCAGCACCAGGGATTGAACCTGCTACCTAAGAGACACAGGGAGACAGAATTATGTACTCTGTTATTGTATAGCTGATTGAAATGCTACCAGAATGGTGTCCACATATCTAAGAGTCAAGGAGATGTGGTCACCTGGAGTCAGTGGGGGAGCTAGAGGATGGTCTTGAAAGGAGGAGTGGGGTTGGATTTTCTTCTCTCCTATTTTAAAGGGATGAAACACTGAACAATTCTGCTGAAAAGGTCCCTTAATTATAACCCATTAGGGGCAAACCAAGGTTTTCTTTTAATGCATAAAAATTCTCAAATGCCTTCCACAACCAATGTAATAAATTCCCTCAAGGCAGCAGAATGAAGTTTCCATCTGAGGACAGAAGTCAGACAACCACAAACAGAGAGCTCTAGACCAGCAGTTCTCAACCTGTGGGTCACGGCCCTTTTTTGACAATGAAAGTACATTGTGGCATTAGGAAGCTTGAGAACAGTAGCCACTAGCCCCAAGTGGAAGTGCTCAAGAGCCCAGTGAAAGGGCTATTTAGCCCAGTGTAACTCAAGATATGCTAGTGCATCTGAGGAGTAGAATTTTAAATATTATTTCATTTTAATTAATTTAAATAGCCACAGAACTATCAGAAGAGAACAACTCTAGACAGTTACTGAAGGCTAGTGCTTGGCCCAGGTCACATCTCAGAAAAACACCTAAAAAAAATGGCAAGCTATCCTCTGACCAGTTCCCAGTTAAATGGGCCATGTGCAAAGGCCAGAGCAGCCTTCCTGCTTCCCTTTTCTTACCACCAGCTCTTTCTCCCCCACATTCTCTCTCTCACACACACAGAGGCTCACTCCCACACTGTATCTGGATGACCAACAGACCTTGAGGGCTGTGTGGCTGCTGCGTGTGTGGGACACATTTCTGGGGGCAGTTTGCCAAAGCTCCTGGGACTGTCTCCCAGAGGTGTCCACAAATGTCCAGTATAGGCACTTCTATTCCAGGGAAGTGAGGAGAGGGCCCTTGGTTACTTTGGTGGCTTTAGTTCTGCTTCTCTAGAAATCACTTAACTCTGCTACTAAAGACAGCCTTCATCAACTGTCCCCAGGTCAACTGGGCCCTGCTGCCTTGCAGATGCATGCAAGCGTACACAGCAGCAGCAGAGCTCAGAGACCAGTGGTAGTGGTGGGGGGGGGCGCTAGTGTGACAGAAGAGACATGAATTTCCTCTAGGCCATGCCATGAATGGATGATGGTAGACAGGGTGCTGAGTGAAGCCTTTGCTTTGTTCTGACTTCCTCCTTGGCCAAGGCACGGCTACAGTGAGGAGTGTTCTTATGTGATCTCTCCACAGCCCGAGCTGTCATGATGTTTGCTCTCATCCCCATCACAACCATCCGATCAGCCATGTCCAAACTCATCAAGGGCTCGTCTTACGGTGAGTGAAAGGAATCTCTCCAGGGTTTTCTCAGAGCTGCTCAGCTTGAGGCACAGAACTGCAGAAGGCACCTCAGAGAGTTCCAGAAGCATCCTTGAAGACCCTAGGAACACTAGTTTTCATCCAAGGCAGAGTGAGTGGAAACAGGAGGGTGAAAAGACTCAGTCACTGAAAAGTCACAGTCAAAGAAAGACATGTCATCCCCTGGTCTCAGGATGATCCAGCCAGATAGAGGCAGGATTTCTAGAGAATTGAGCCATGGAGATTGAGAGGGAAATCTTGGAAGACCAAGGGGTCCCGTAAGAGCGGCCCAGAGACTCATCTAGAGGGGAACAGGAAGGTACGGCAGCACACTTCTTGGTAACCTCTCTCCCTTCCACAGGAAAGGTGTTCGTCATCCTGCAGCTGTCCCTGGCTCTGACTGGCGTGGTGACATCCACCGTGTATAACAAGATCTATCAGCTCACCATGGACACGTTCGTGGGCACCTGCTTCGCTCTGTCCTCCTTACTCTCCTTCCTGGCCATCATCCCGATTGGGTAAGATGGGAGCTGCGGGCCGGGGCCAGGGGGCATAGGTCATGGAATGTTGCACCATCTCCAGCCCATCAGCATAGGATTGTTTATTTTCAGCACTTAAATGCAGTGGCTTCTGAGTAGGCTCTCTGACAAAGAAAAAGTCCTCCTATTTTCCCAAACTAATAATCTGGCCGTTTGGGAATTCCCCTACCAGCTGGCCCACTTCCTGGCAGCTTTGTGAGCTTTATACACTTCCTTAGCAAGAGGCTGGGATTAGAAACCCTCGTGAACCGTTCAGACATCTTTTGTTCACTGGACTGTGTGTTCAGTGGCCTCGTGTGGCTACAGGAGAGCACAGTTTAGACTGTTAGACCCTTTAACCCCTTCCCTAAAGAGGGGTTCTCTCATGCTTGTATCCATGCTGGTGGAAGAGAAGGGAATACATATAAATATATATCTCCATAGGGTAACTATATCCACAATAAGATACAAGAGATTTGACATAGATGTGTGCTTTCAAGGGACCTGCCTAATAGTGTATGAGTATATCTTGGCAATGGCGGTATTATAGACAACAGAGTAGAAAATAATGGAAGACGGGTTGGAAGGGATGGTGACAAAGACCCCTGTGGAACTCTCACATCATAACATAGGCCCTTGCTGGCATGGAAGGCTGAGCCTCCTGGAATAGGTGCCATCAATCATTATGGCTCTTTGCCATCAATCATTATGGCTCTTTGCCATCAATCATTATGGCTCTTTGCTTTATTTCATGGTCGAGAAAAATAAGCTATGAAGATCAAACAGTTGAGAGAATTTGTACAAGCAACAGGCATGACCGGCTCTCATTTTGTAAGGTGGGGACTGAGCAAGATCCGCCCTCAAACTGTCCAACCTTTAGGCCTTGTATGCGCTCCTGTTTTCATATGAGTCCTGGCTGAACAGGCCGGACTAACTTAGCTAGAGCTAACACGCAAAGCAGACTTCTCAGGAGTCCCAGCTCTTTGACAAGATTTGTAGTTTTGCCCACTTGAAAATTATCCAGTCCTGTTTCACTATTAGTTGAGTAAAGTTGCCTCTTTAACCTAAACAAACAAAAACCAATACGCAACAAAAGTGTTAATAGTTAGTGGGTGTCCTAAAGACATAAACAGACAATGCAAGTAATGAGTGTGTTCAAGTCAGCAACTGACCCAGTGCTTATACAAATAAGGCACTTAAATAGTTGCTTGCTGCCAACAAAGCCACATTCTTTGTAC